TGCGCCCATATAGTTTTAGCGGAGAAGAATAATGAATAATAAATAATGAAAAATCCGTAGAAAAACAATAGGGTTCCCTGCCCTTTGGGCTTGGAACCCTAACTAGAACTGCAAGCAGTTATCAACGGGTTCCAAGCCACCAGCGCCAGTCGCCCACCCGCCCCGCCCTCCACTTCGCCAGTCCTCACGCGGTCCCGCCCCAAAAACATGTTCTCCCGCCGGCGTCCCGTCAGCTCACTTCAACCGGCGCAATGAAACTAAGACTCAGGATACGTCATTAAACCGGCTAAGCCTATACACATATCTTTCAGAGGCATGGCTGACTTCTCAATCGTGATTACAATGGAATTCCACTGTTTCCTTATTAAAGAACGTGAAGATTTAATGAGTGAGATTATTAAACAATAATCTATACATCAACAGAATGTTACAAATAACATAAATACTTGATAATGTGTTTAGATTTAATAGATTTTCAACAAAAACAATGAGTTTCATTTTGTGACTTGCTGACCAAATGTTTAAAAAAATCATGAAAAATACATAACTCATCCTAAAATTACCAAAATATTCTCACATGGCAGTGTTAACATGCGGAATAATATGATGTTGTTTTTAAATCAGTAGACTCAAAGCTTTTTTGAAGAAAAATTGGGAAATATAACTATAAAGGTCACAACAAAAATTAAAATATTCATAAAAAAATAGTGCTACTTTCTAAAATTAGGAGAAAAATCTCAGATAACCATAGGTACATGTGGAATGTTGTAAATGGCTTATATTTACTGTATACCTAAAAAGCTTTCTAACAAAAATTAATTACGTTGTTGTCCAACTATACAAAATAACTGGCAAAAAGTAAAAAATTCATTAAAAATCAATGCTTTTGTACAAAAATCTCAAAATATTCCCAGATTGCCTCTGTGACGTGTGTATTGTGGTCATATTTTTGTAAGATCATAAATGTAAAACTTTTCTTACAATAAAATAATATTTGCATTAGTGGCTGTAGACAAAAATATGTCCTATAATTGAACACTAGGGGGAGCTCAAATCAAGACGACATTTTTTTTGTTTCATAAACCACCTAAGAGTGAACTTTGTGGTAAATTACAAGAAGATTGTGAGAACAGAATTTGTGCCACACTTGCTAGCGTAAAAATGTATTTTTGTAAATATAAAGCGCAAACCTCTTCGTGGAGCTGCGGCTATCGTGACATAAGCTCTAGCCTATCCAGTAAACACAATCTGGAAATCTTAGCCTCTTACATGCAAATAGTGATTTTTAGGAAATTTTTCAAATTTGAAATTTTAAATGATCGTAAACCACGCCCACTTTGATCAATCATTACCATATTGATAATGTAGTCTTAAGACTCTATAGTGATGACAACCACTAAGTTTCGTGCAGATCCATTTAGCCGGTTCAGCAGTATAATTTCTTCCCAGTTATAGCGCCCCCTATTGTTTAATCAAGTTGAAAACCAGGACATACACTTGAATTCACCTTAGGTATGACTGTTATGAACAGCTTTGAAAAATGTCAAAATCTTTTGAAGTTACGCTAAAAAAACTTTTTCATTCCCAAAAAATTATTTTAAAAAATCATATAAAAAAAAATAAGCAAATTATCCAAAATCCCTTCACAACTTTTGGTCAGCCGCTCCTCTTCTCTTGTCAGGGAAAGTTGTGATGTGATTGAGTTTGACGGCCGGGAGGAGTTAACGAAAGTACGTTTGACTTACTATGCAAATTTCTACTAATTAGCATAAGTTTAAATTATTTTTTAAAATACTCTTCTAAATTTGACTGACTCAATGAACATAGTGGATGAGACCACTTGTTTTTTTACGAAAGAAATGGGGAGAAACATGCCAAAATCATTTTTGGGGTACCACAGCGCCACCTATTGGACAAAATTCAAAAGTTTTTCTGTGATTGTAGATGTCACTATGACAGATAAGAATTGTAATTTTCTGTATAGAATATGTATTTTTCATGAGTAAAAGGGCGAAAATTTTTAAAGCCTATAAGCCACGCCCACTTTTTAATCATTTTCAAAATATAGCTTAAGGGTCCGATGATTAACATATGTACCAAGTTCTGTGGAAATCCATCAAGCCGTTTAGCTGAAACAAACTTTTTGACTCTTTAGCGCCCCCTATTGGTGAATCCAAACAAAATGGGGTAGATAGGGCTTACCACTCTCACTTCATAAGGGTCTAGAGTCTCATCAATTTATCTTGAGAAATGGTCAAGATATCATCAATTACCACATGTGCTAGCTAGCGCACTGATTTTGACATGGTGTCATTAGCCCAATTTTCAATATTTCTAAATTTTTCTTCATCACAACAACTTACCTTAGTCCATAGATCACATGTACGAAGTTTGAAGTTGATTCGACGAAAAATGACGAATAGGTGATTAAAAGTAAGTTTTGCGTTTTTTGCGATCTAGCAAAAAATCTAGTTAGGCGGAAATGGGCGTGGCCAATTTAAAAAAGATGGAGAATCATCCAAGGATCATGTACATATAAAGTTTTTGACTGTAGGACCTACGGTTTGGGAGCTAGTAGCTGAAACGTGTTGACCTCTGCAATAGCGCCACCTAGGTGATGCAGGGTCCAAATTTTCGAATCTGAGTAGCGGTCAGGATTTTCTGTCAGACTGCCATGTCAGATTTTCCCTGGCAATTTCAGGCTCTTGCGCCCATACAGACACAGCGGAGAAGAATAATGAAGAATAATAAATAATGAAAAATCCGTAGAAAAACAATAGGGTTCCCTGCCCTTTGGGCTTGGAACCCTAATAAACTAGAACTGCAAGCAGTTATCAACGGGTTCCAAGCCCCCAGCGCCAGTCGCCCACCCGGCCCCGCCCTCACCTTCGCCATTCCTCACGCGGTCCCGCCCCAAAAACACGTTCTCCCGCCGGCGTTCCGTCAGCTCTTTTCAACCGGCGCAATGAAAGTATTACTCAGGATTTGTCATGAAACCTTTTGCTTAGCCTAAACTAATACCAGCATGTGACTGTGTGTGTGAATGGCTGAATGCAGACTTCTGCGGGCCTGGTAAGTCATGTGCTGTATTGGACAGCAGAAGTTCAGGAAACGGAGCGGGATTTCCATTAATTGGAAGGTTTTGGGTTTGATTCCAAGTCTGACCAGAGAATGCAGTTGTTGTGTCTTTGGGCAAGACACCTTGGCTGCTGGTGCTGGGAGGGACCGGTGTTGTCAGTTTTCGGCAGGCCTCACCTCTGTCAGTGTGCTTCAGGGAAGCGGTGGCTACATTGTTGCTCATTCCCAGTAGCGTGTGACTGTGTGTGTGAATGGGTGAAAGACTGATTGTGTTGTTAAGGGACTAAGGCGCTATACAAATCCAAAACATTTACCATTTCAATATTACTGACGATGTTTAGTAAATGTATTAAAAATCTATTATTTTCATAGGAAATCCTCCAATGTTTTTTGAAAATCATCATGGGTCAAGTTTTGTTATTTTATAGTTTTTAAATATTTTTTTTTCAATAAGACGATATATGGAGATTGATAATTGAACTGAATGAAACAAAACTGAATAAAATCCATATTTAATCTAAAGATTTCCTGCAATTTGTGCCAGTGGCCCCTTGCCCTGCACATTCTTGTAACAGTTTTATCTGGCCATGGTCAAAATCACACAGTTATCTCTGGTCAAAATAAAACGAGTAGACATTTGGTCAAAATAAAACAAGTAGACATTTATTATGAGCACAAAATTGCCCAAAATTCAATGAAACACTTCATTTTGTAAGTACAAAGATGTAGGATATGTAGGTAAAAATGATGGTACATTATTCAAACAATTGAATTAAAAAAACAGCAGTTTATTGTATGTCAAATTTTGCCAATTGTGGGGGAGACTTTGTAGAGGAAACAATATTTTTACAACACTATGCATTGAAATTAGGACACCAGAAATTATATTGATTCAAGAGTACAGAAAACACTTTATTGTTATCTACATATGTAAATGTACAAATGATGTGTTACACAATGTATAGCAAAGTGGCAGAAGGGCATTCTGAGGCAAAGTGTCACGTTGGGAATGTTTTACCCAGGACATGAAAAAAATCACAGATGGAAAGGATGTCAAGTGAATAACAAATAATATTTATTAAGAACAATGTGAAACTGAAAACGGTGCTCCAAACTGGAATAGGAGGGATCAAGATCTAGAACGGGAAAGCAAACTGGTGTTAGAATCACGAAACTCTGGAACCAGAGAACCAGAACTGGAATTGTTTGGAGAACTATTCTTACTGGAGATGATTGGTCGTGGTGAGGCAGGGCTGGGGCTTTGGGGCCAGGTAGGGACAGACAAGCAGCAGAGAATGAGGATCCAGGACGGGATGAGGAAACAGGTTGCGAGGCAGACAGCGAGGCAGGATATGATGCAGGTCCAGAGGCTGGTAGTTAGGCAGGCTGGGAAGCAAACAAGACGACAGGCAGGCGGCGTGGTCACATGATGGTTGCTGATTCCGCAGATTTCGGTTGTGGTGTTTCAGGAACTTCATCTGGTGGGTGATTGTTCCTAGTGGAGATTGAAAAAAAGAAGAGTGCTGTAAAATGAAATCTTTAACAAAGGAAAATAAAAATAGTACTAGAATAAGTGAATTTGTGAATATCTAATTGGATACATTTTTATACATTGAAACAGTGATGGCACAACACAAAGTAACATTTCAAGTGTCCATTATCAAAACCACAAGTAAGTGTGATACTGTCATACACTTTTTTATTGATAGAAAGTATATTTCACATGCTATATAAACATTAAACGGTAAGGTATGGTGTGGTATGGTATGGTATATATGTATATGAGTCCAAATAAGTTTAGATGATTTTGAAGCAAAATTGATCTTGTATGAATGAAACGGACCTCTATGTGTAATTTGTTATGGTCAGCTCTGGTGTCCACCTGTCCATCTATCTGTGATTGTCTGTCTATCCCCTTGAGGCTATTTGTCCTGCAGTCCCTGTCTGTCTGTCTCCAGTTCCTGTAACTGTATGTCTGTGTCTGTCCCTGTCAAGAATGATATTTGAATACATTCATGGTAACTGTAATAGGTGGGAATAACTTCTACATGTATGGTTTTGGGATCAATGTCTTTGATGTAAACATGATCAATTAGAGTATTATTTTCGGTTGTTGGACTTGTTACTATTTGAGTGTATCCTTGCAATTTCATGAAGCTGACAAATGAGTTAGAAACCAGTGCATCGTCATTCATGTCACCCATGACTATTTTGGTTCCTGGAAATTGATTGAAATAATGCAGTACAGGTTTTAGATTGTCTTTGAATTTCTGAAGGTTATATGATGGTGGTTTGTACAACAGCATATAATGATGGTTTAAAGTCTGTGTGCTAAAAAGCAAAGCTTCCAGGTTGTTGCAATTGAAAGCCATACTTTTACACATAATGCTGTTTTTGTGATAGAAACCAACACCACCACCATTTTTGCTTCTGAAAGTAGAAAATAGTCCAGTTTCATCATATGAGTCAGATCTTGTTTTGTGGTGAAAAGTCCAACCTGGCAGTGAAATGCTTTCAGGGGGATGTGTTTCTTTTAACCAAGTTTCTGTCAGACAAATTATATCGGCTGTGAGTAGTTTTTGGTTGCTCTTGACATCCTGTATGTGATTCTTGAGACCTTGCACATTATGAAGACAGACTTTAAAAGTGCAGTTTGGCATTGAAACTGGTGTGTCGATAAAGTTTGGCATTAATTTCAAGTTTTCTTCCACATCACTTCTTGCATAGATTGCTTTAGCTTTAAAATCTTGGATAGTGAGGTGTTCTAGTGACGTAACACGACTTAAAGCTACATATGCTTGTCCAGCAGAAAAAATTCTTTTAAAAGAGACTACTGCTTTCTGTAGTGTTAGGCCTTGGACTTTATGTATGGTGCAAGACCAAGCCAGCCGCAGTGGAAATTGACGTCTAACCCCCTTTTCAAGTTTATCTTCATCGGGACTAATTGGTGTGGCATTAGTCAGCTCGGTGTCTGAAGTTGGAAACCTGTGTCGTAGTTGTTGGCCTATACTTGGGTTATCAAAGTTAACATAAATGATGTGTGGGAAGCTATTGTTACTTAGAAATTGTATGCGACAAACAGTACCAAACACACCATTAACAAGTCCATCAGAAACATCAATGTTTTTAATGAGCATTACACGAGCTTTAGGAGCAATACTTAGTAATTTATCTAAATAGGTTTTCTTGCCAAAATCAAGTGTTGAGGGTATTCTAGTGGTACGGCCAGTCTGAGGGTTTTTATGGAAATCTTGGGCTTTGATTTGTACAATGTCTGTACATTGTTTATGCAACATTTTGAAGTTATGGTTATCAACATCACTGTTTGTTGCAAAAAGATGCAGAATTTCAGTGTCTTCACCCATGCCTGTTTCACATCGTTTGAGAAGTGCTTCGTCTTGTGGGTGAAGTGGTTGGTCTTTTTTGTGTTTTCTTAAACGGTTAAGTGTTACAGCAAAGTCTTTGTTTTTTTGTCGTACTATGTCTGTGAGTTCTACATGACTGAAACTGTTTTGCCACAAATTGGAACCAATGGGGTCCTTGTAGAGAGGAGTCCCTTTGACAGGTGGCAACTGATAAAAATCACCAACAGCTATGACGGAGACATTACCAAATGAAGAAAAGTCTGAACACTGTTTGATCTGACGCAGTCTACCATGGATATATGTTAATAGCTTGTTATCAACCATTGAGATTTCATCTATTATCAAGATTTGTAAATGTTTCAGGGTTGCTCTTAATGTGTTTATTTTTTCCTCTCTTAATGGTTGGTATGGTAATGAAATATTATTGCCAATTGCAAAGCTATTATGTATTGTTGTGGCATTGATATTTAATGCAGCCACTCCAGTGGGGGCAGTCAGTAAAACATGAATATCATCAGGAAAATTAGATAATCTGGATAGTATTCTGGTTGTTTCATAGGACACAGCTTTTACCAAATGGGACTTGCCTGTTCCCGCTCCACCTGAAATGAAAACATAAAAAGGGCTTGGTTTGTGACCGTTTACTTTATCTAAGCACCACTGCCGGATTTTATAAAACACGTTGCTCTGCTGCTGATTTAGAGAACGCATTAAGGATTGTGCTTCCTTGTGTGAGACTATCTGTTTTTGAATGTGAAATGATAAAGCTGGTTTTGTGATTGGCTCTAGATCTGGAATAACTTCTTGTTCACCAGGATTTGGATTGTTATCTAAAGATCTGTCTTCCAAACATTCTAATCGGTCTAGTTCTGCCTCAGGACACAGCTCTGCCCAAACATCTTCTTGAAATCCAAAGTGTTCAATATCTTCCTGTATGTTTTGTAAATCTTCTGCTTTGATTTCAAACTTGGATCTGTTGAATTCTACTACGTCTTTGACAGACTGGATGTTTTTACTACTGTTTGTGATTGAGCCAGTCTCATGAAACTCTTGAAATGTTGTAAATTGTGATGGTTTTAACTGGTTTTCCGTGTAATAAGGAAGGAACAGCTGAAGCTGGCTTTGGTAGTGTTTCTCAGGATCTTGTTCTTTGGAAAAACGAGCATATCTAACAACAGCTACATTTGTCCTTGTCCGCTTCCTTACACAACCATTGTTGTTTAATAAACTAACCACTTCTGGTCTAGATTTCTCACTGTTTGGTACATTTCTGTATTCTGAGGCAAAAGTAGCTATGCACATGTCCATAAATTCACTGGACTTAGGCCTGCTTTTGTATCGATCGGTAATGTTTGTCATCCAGATCTGATTACCATTAGCACTGTTTTGAATGACATTAAGAGGTAAGCTCATTCTGACAATGTTGTCACCTGTTGGAACAAATGTGACTTTTCTAGAGCCCTCTTTTAATCTCATGTTTGTTACCCGATACACACTTTCTTGAGCAGAAACTTCTCTGTTATGCAGAAACACATTCCCTAATTTGTTAAGCGCTTGTTTTGCATCCAGGTTTTCATTATGTTTGATTTCATTTTGTGCATGTTTTAATAGCAAACCCATTTCTCTTTCTGCTTTGGATATGTAGGAAATGATATAAACAATGCATGCATATGCATCACAGACAAACTGGATGTCCATGTTTGCATTCCAGCAACGTAGCAGGTCTGTATTATACTGATTAACCCAGATGTCGTTTATGCTTCGTTTATGGACGACAGTTGTTTTTGTAGAGGTCAGTTTGTAGGCTGTTTCAAATGTAGTCTGGTCAATACCAATGGAATTAAACAAGTCATCTATGCTACTAAATGTGTTGTTTTCACTGGTCAAAGCTTCTTTAACTTTGGTCATGATATGCTTGGCTGCCTTTTTTAAATCTGAAGATGATTTGTCAGATGGGTTTTCCTTATTGTCAACATCCGTTTCCTGTGTGCATATGAATGTATTGTTGCTTGGTGGTCGGGGAAAGTGAAACCTGCAAGTTGTGTGATTTTTTCTGCAACTTTTAGAGTGTTTTTTGCTATGCATTTGAACACTATGTACCACTTCATGGAGAGGATCACTGTCAGGTGGGAGGTCGCATGTAACGTATTTATCTACAAATGCTATGACTTCAGCATCTGTGTTGACTCCTATTTTAGGCCCGTCGGTCCAAAATAGACAATGAGTGTGACATGATCCACGTTGCTGAAACTCTACTCTATAAAAATAATCAATGATTTTACCAATTGGCTGAGCGGGAGACATGATAACATCTTTTAAAAAAGATCTAAATCTATGGTCAAACATTCTGGCTGCTGTCACTGGATTGTTTTTCAATAAGTCACATTTCTGTGCCCAGTCCATGTCATGAATATTGCCTTGAATGTTTTCTATAGCCATAAAAGCTTCCATAAATTCTGGCCATCTTAAATCTGCTGAAGAAAAGGAAGCAAACCATGTAGGAATGCCAAGTTGTCTAACGTAAGCAAACAGATCTTTTTGAACTCCCTGCCAAAATACTGGTGTACCTCTAATGGGCTTCAAGAACTTATAGCCCATGTCAGCATTTAAAACATTCTTCAAAAAGTCTGTATTGCCCAGCATGGATGATGTAATGTTGGTGTTGTCTAAGCCATGGTAGCCCTTTCTCAGTGCAATGGAAACATTTGACACAACTTGATTAACTTCTGACAAATATTGTGCATAAAAGATATAATCCAAGTTCTTGCCGAATCTGCCATCAGCATTGAGAATTCGGGTGTTTAAATATTTGCTGAGTGTAATCCTTTGCTCTCTTGCATCATGAAATGTACCTGTTCCATTGGGAAACAGAACTGGAAAGCATTTAGCCTCATTAGAAGTATCGGTAAGCAATCTGACTGGAGCATTTCCCTCAGCTGGTGCTACTGATAAAACACTGTCAAAATGGTTGTCTAGTATTTCTTGGGCAATGTCTACTGGTTGCATACATGTGTCCAAAAACATCCCATGCTGTTGTCTATCATTAAAATGATCATCACTAACAAGATCTTCAGACTCTACCTCTGTGCCACTGCCATCTCCTTTGCCAGGATGTTCACACTCTATTTCAGCTCTATTGCTGTCTTCTTCCAAAGTGGCATTGTCAGTTTCAGAGGTAGAGTTTTCAGACTCTTTTTCTAGGGGATTTGTCCATGCACTGTTAAACTGTACATCTTTGTAAAACGCATTGTGAGATTTAAGGTATGCAATTGCATTATGTACTTTCAGAGCGTTGACATACTGATAGTCATAGTGACCCTTGTATGTCAGCTTTCGCTTCAGTTTCACTTTAATCATTAGATTCTGATCATCTAATCTGGGTAGAATATTACTCACAGTTTCTGTATTAGATGGAACACAAGTCACAGGTCCATGGACACCATTTTGTCCTCCCTTTGGTAAGGCTAAAAGTTTCATAAACGGAATGTGCTGTGCCACTAGATGTTGCTCAAGAGGATTCAACGTACTAAGTTCTACAGGAATAGAATCTAGGTGCATATTGTTTGCAACACTTTCTTCAGGGACTTTTCCATTGAGTATTTTACGATGACAAGTAAAACAGACCCACAATTTACATGCAGGGCTAACCTCTAGATGGCATTTGGAAACTGAAGACTGTCCACACTTGTGTAAATAAGTGTCAGTGATGCATTTTTTTGCCACAGATGAAATGAATGAACCTTTAATTTCATACTGCTGTGTTTTACATTCAACAACTTGATGTTTAAAAAGTAACCGATGACAAACACAACAGACGAATTGAGGGCCAAATTTAACCTTTTCTCTAAAAAGCTGAATGACATTGTCTATGAACTTTTTTCCAGTCATGAGATTTTGCCGTCTACGTTTTCCATGCTCCTTAACAGAATCGGCATAAGCAGTTACATTTCTATACCGTTCAGAATTAGACTGTTTGATGCGGTTACGGTGGTCAACCTTATTTCTATATCTTTCTACGTTCTGTTTCAATAACTGAAGCTTAGAGTGTTTACTTTTGGTTGCATAAGTGGTTTTGCTGGCAAGTTTGAGTCTTGCTCTCACTTCAGGTTTGTTTTTATAGTTTTCTTTACTGTCATGTCTGAGTCTTGCTCTCAGTTCCGGCTTTTTGAAGTAGTTTTGTTTATTAGCAAGTTTGAGTCTTGCTCTCAGTTCGGGTTTGTTTTTGTAGTTTTCTTTACTGTCATGTCTGAGTCTTGCTCTCAGTTCAGGCTTTTTGTAGTAGTTTTGTTTATTAGCAAGTTTGACTCTTGCTCTCAGTTCAGGTTTGTTTTTGTAGTTTTCTTTACTGTCATGTCTGAGTCTTGCTCTCAGTTCAGGCTTTTTGTAGTAGTTTTGTTTATTAGCAAGTTTGAGTCTTGCTCGCAGTTCAGGTTTGTTTTTGTAGTTTTCTTTACTGTCATGTCTGATTCTAGCTCTCAGTTCAGGTTTGTTTTTGTAGTTTTCTTTACTGTCATGTCTGAGTCTTGCTCTCAGTTCAGGCTTTTTGTAGTAGTTTTGTTTATTAGCAAGTTTGAGTCTTGCTCTGAGGTCTGGCTTATTTCTATATGTAATGACACTTAGTTGCTTCTTGTGTAATCTGTACTTAGGATTGTCCTTATACAATTTCTGTAACATCATTATTTTGCTTTCCCTTTTCTCAATGTCTTCATTATACAGAGTTCTCTTTCTCCTGTTCTCTCTGCTTATCTTAGATGGAGATAGTATGTCCTTGTCACCTGTAAAGTGACAGTAATTACATGAGATCAGGTTAAAACATGTGTTAGTTTTATCTTTCACACATGCGATTGGCTCATAATGACATTCATTACAGTGTTTCAGATAAATACCCTTGGTGTTGTCTAAAGTACTAGAAGAGCCATATTGTAACCATTTTCCTTGAGTGTAAGTGTAAATATGGGTGTGAAAAAAGTCTGCAGCTGCTTGTATCTCAATCTCTGTAGCCCAGGATCCAACTTTCTTTATGCCTGTTTGTGTAACATACTGCTGTACTGATTCAAATTCCTGTCTGATGAAAGTTGAATAGAGGTCAGAATTTTGAAGAATTTGATTAACAACAGCCCTGCGAATCGACCTATGCAACTCTTCATTCCCAGTAATTACAAATGCAAGAGCACGGAAAAAGCAGTTGCCGTCTGGCTGGATGTGTATAGTGGTACAAGGTAACGGTTCATCTAATGTAATACTTTCCCAAAGACTTTTCACCTTTTCTAAACTTGGAACTATCTGTAGTTGGGTGCAAAAGTTTCTTTTGTCTTTAGAAGTCAGAGGATTGAAAGTAACAGTGCTGTTGATATTTTCTGAAATTATGAAAACAGATGTATCATTTTGTGGTACTTCTTCAATTATTGCTTGATCCAAAGAAGTGTGATGATTTTCAGATACTGAGTCTACATCAAGGGAAGTGGTGTCATTAACTGCAATATCTTCTATTTCCTGAAGTACTACTTTATCAAAACTATCATCATCAAAACTAGTACATGTCGACTCTGTATCATCTTGAAAAGAACTATTTTGCGTATGGATGGGCTCACAATGAGATGGAGATTCAGAAAGACTCTCAGATGTGTCACTAACTGCAACATCTTCAATCTCTTCAAGTACTCACTGATCAAACGTGTCGTCATCAAAACTATCATCACTTCCACTGATTAACTCTACATCATGTTGGCAAGAAGGAGTTTTCCTTTGGATAGATTTACTCATAGATTGAGCAGTCACCTTAACACCGGTCATTTCAAAAGCTGTGTCCTCTTCATTTGCATTGTCAGCACACAAAGAGTGAGAGAGATTGATTAAATGTGTATAAACTTGGTCTAAAGTATCAAAGTGTGCTACTATGCTTGTGCCATTCAACTGCCAGAGACCATCATGACCACGTGAATGTGGATCAAAAACAGAAAACTGAGATTGTTCTTTCAAAACTGCACATGTGTTTCTACTAATTGTAAACAGACAGCCGTCATTGTCAAATATAGCTCTCTGTAATGCAATGTCCAAAGGCATGGCAAAATCTGAAACATCTTCATGGTAAATCTGCTGATGAAGATGTCCTGTGAAGGTCTGCATGTATTCCAAAGAGAACTTGTGATGATGGAATGTGTGCTCTGTGGGTAATTCTTGAACAAAAACATAACCACTGCCTTCTGCATCACTGATCATGTTTTGCTCTTTCATGTAAGTGTATAAACTATCACCACTTATCAAGATATTGTTAATGTCTTTTCTTGACCATGTGGAAGCCATTTTGACAGTGTTTGTCATGATGGCTGTAATGCTGTTTGGTGCACACTGTTTAAATCGGTTGCACCCAAAACGCTTATGACCTTGATGAAATGAACCTTTGACAATAGAATGAAAAGTGTGCAAACTTTCCTGATTTGATGAAGAAGATGCAATGGGAACACTTGAAGCTGCAGCACCAGGAGCATCATGGAACTTCACAGGTTGAACACTTGTCTCCTTCTCCTTACATTCCTGTGAAAACATAAACATAAAGACTCAAAAATTAGAAGAAAATCTATGAATAAAATGGGCATGTTTTCACTTGGGGAAAATATCAAACCTGTTGCTTTGTAGCATCTCCTAGGTCAACAGGTCCTTGGTCTTGGAGAGCATCTGCGTTCTGTTAAAATAAAAAAGTTTTATAATATGTAGGAAATATATGTATTGGAAAGAATATGTGTAGGATTAAGTATGCTATTAAACATCAATAATCAGAATATGTCTTAGGTCCTACCGTTTTGTCTTTTGGTACAGGCGATGGAACACTGTATTTGTCGTTCATCCGGCGATGGTGTAGTACCTCAGAGCAGTCTTTCAAATGCTCCTGGGAGTGACAGCAAACCTGTTGGAAATCACACCAAGATATTTACAATATATTGTAGTATTGTGAAATTTAAAATTATTTGTTAAGCACATGATGTGATGTCAATAACAACAATCATATTAAAATCCAATGTCAGACCTGGTCCTTGGTGACATCTGTGCGTGAAACAGATCTTTGGTCTTGGACAGCAGCTGCATACTGTTAAAATGAAAAGGTTTATTCAAATAAGCAAATAATATAAGTATTTGAGTAAAAACTTTAGAATGAGCATCATTCAATAAAAAAAGGTGATAGGTCTCACAGTTTTGTCATTGGGGGCTGGTGATGGCACACTGTCGTCATCAGTTTTGACTTTCAGCTTTTGAAGGACCACACAGCAGTCCTTCAGGTACTTCTGTAAGTAAATGAAAGGAATCATTGTAATCCAAAGGTTTCAAATAAAGGCAACAAAACTGATTTGGTTTCTTTGAATGAGAGTTTATTCACCTGATGACGAGACATCAGTGTGCCACGTGAGCCTTTAGGATGAATGTGAGATGTCTGAAAGAAAATGTCATTCAAGGTTTTATGTTAATTTTTCCATTATTGTAGAACTGTGTACCTCTTAAGCATTATTACTACTTCATATTGTAAAAGTATTGTGTGTGTAAATCTTAATTACCTTTAAACTCTCTGCAAGTGTTGGCCATTCATGATCATCAGACGGCATGATCACTTGCTCCTTTATTGGTGCTGTTGTACTGGCAGGAGGTTTCTGGATCGTTGTTGCCTGTCCCTGAAATAAATACAGTATACAATACATGTAATTACTTTGTGCATGTTTTACAGGAGGACTTGACCAACAAATAGAAAAAAAAGATATAAAAAAATAACAAACCTGCATGTTAACAACACTTATGTCTTTTCCAGAGGACACTGGCTTTCCTTCAGGTTGTACCACCTGTCATCAAAATATGAACATATTGCAAAGTCTTAGGTGACAAATATCTCAAATTAATAATGAATTAAAGATTAATATCAAAACGCTTTAATGAAAAAACATATTTCTTCATATTTACCTTTTTGTGTTGGACATCTGGTGAAAGCACATCTGGACATCCAGTACTGTCTTTTTCCAAGACATGCAGCAGATCTTCATGGAAGTATTTAGGATTCACCGCAAAGCAGACTTCGGCCTGAACATTGTGATGTAGACAATATTAGAAAAACTCATATCAATCAACATGGCGAACTTCAAATAAAAAAAAAAGAATGATCTAATCTATCAAAGAATTAAAATTAATCATTTACCTCATGAAGACGAATTGTCTTTGAAGATGATCTCTGCTCCTTTGGACCAGCTGGAGTAGACCTCTGAAAAAATTAATGACATTTTTATATTACATGATTGTTGAAAATCTAAACCGCAAAATAATGTCTGCAGTTGAAATAAAAACATAGAAAAAACAATTTACCTTCTTGCCAGGCAAAACAACTCTCCACTTAGATTGGTCTGCTTGGGGTTGAATGGGCTTTGCATCTTCAACGACCACTCTAGCAGCAGACTTCTTGGAGGTAACCTGGGCCTTCTGACTTTGGAGGTGCAGGTATGTTTTTTGCCAGAGCAATTGTGCAAAAATGTCCATGCCGTCACTGTCACTGAGATGAACCTATAGAAAATTACACATTTTTAGCTAAAGCTAATACCTCTTAATCATTAAAAATCAGTAAGCTTCTCACTTACCCCATCTCTGCCCCACAAATCCAGGCGATGAAAGGGGAAGTTCTCAGCAATTGATGAGTATGGGACATCTGAAAGAAACATATTTTGTTAACAATTAGTTTTTCCAGTTAGAAGCATTTTGTATATTCCACACTAAAATTCAACATACCCATTTGTACTGAGACTCTATGAAACATCATCCTCAGATGGTCCTGCACAACTTTGTCATGGCTCAGTCTTGGAGGGAAATCCAAAACAAAAACCTGTTTTCCACAAATTTTACATGTCATTAAAAAGCATTCTAGAAAAAAACACCAGAATATAAATTTGATTCAGTAATTGCTTTTCTAATGGCACATTATTTGTAATTACATCTATCCTTACATTTGGACAAAGAGTGGAAACAGTGTTCAAAAGACGCTTGAAGTCTTTTTCTCCTTCTGAGATTGGACTGTCCAGGTTGTTGCTTGGAGCGAGCAGACACACTGCATCTGGAACACGTGGGATAACTAACTGCCGGACCTCAGTGGTAAGGTGGGCTGCTGTACCACCAGGAACCGACAGGTAGCCAAAGGACAGCTTCCCCTCAGGCACCTTCACATAGCCATCCACAATGGCTCGGAGATGTGAATCTCCAATGACGAAAACAAACTAGAAGAAGAAACAATATTTTAATGAAGGACCTCTGAAGATAAAAATCACAAAGCACTTTAGAAACTAAAGAATGCATAGCAATCTGTGTGTGAACCTATAAGCACATAATATTGTTTAATATTAATATAAATTAATAGCTAAATGTACCTTCTTGTCTGAAGTCTCTGGTGGGATGATAACCTTCAAGCTTTTGCCTGTGTTAGGCGACAAGGGCCAACGGCAAACCCTGTGCCTGAAGCCTGTTCCGTGACCTAATGGAAAGATAAAGAAAAAAATTAACACAATATCAATGTAATGTAAATATGTAATTGTAAAGTGGGTCACATTAATTTATCTGAAATTTCTCAGTGTGCATACACCATGTCAATTTCAAAATATGCAACAAAGATTTTCAAAAAAACATTTGATGTTTTGGAAAATAACTAAATATGTAACTTACGTGGAGTAAAAGCCGTACAGCTTGGCACAACCTTGAACAGCTCCTCCACAGGCTTCGGCATAAACTGTCTGCTCTTCAAGGCCTGAGCTCTACGGTACCCTTTGCCACGAGGCATCTACAAATGGAAAAAAATACCATAAATTCAGCTCTATGCATTATCACTAAACAAATACATTACACACTAATGTAATATCATGTTTTTATTCTATTAAATAGATGATATAGAAAACTGAGGGAATGTATATCTTCTATTTAATAGACAGATTACCTATTAAGCAACAAAGACCTGTCTTGTTATTGGTCATTAGTATTTCTTTTTATCTTTTTATATTTGAAGTTGTTCAAATGAAGGCAACTGGACTTCTTTGGTTTCTTGAAGACGTTTCTCTTCTCATCCATCACTTCAAACTGGAACATGGGAGAGTCAAGCCTATAAGCTGTAGCTGTTTAATGTTTTTCAACGAGCCAAAACTACTGTGGGTACCTCGGCTCTCCATCACCTGATGAGTCGCTAGCCTCTATTGTGAGGGATTCAAAATGGCGCCGCAGACGACTGCCTTGGTACTTTGGTGCGCTGTTTTTCTTGCTTCTTTTTTTGTTGCATCTGTAGCTGATTCAATATCAACTTTGATCAGGAAAGTGAGACGCAGGAGGAGAGGTAAACGAGCGGGTGCTCTCATGCGTCTGAGGAGACGGGGACTGCGCACGGCTCTACCTGGGATCTTCCTCTCTAATTGCGCTCACTCTGCAACATAATGGACAAGCTGACCCTGATAAGGAACATAAACAGAGACTTCTCCTCATCTGGGGTTCTATGCTTCATTGAAACATGGCTCAGTGAGGACACCCTCAACATTGTACTTGGAGATTTTAACAAAGCAAATCTGAGCCAGGAGCTTCCCAAATATAAACAGTATATCAAATGTCCAACCAGATAGGAGAAAACCCTGGACCACTGTTACAGCACAGTAACGGGAGCCTATCATGCAGTGGCGCGCGTTGCGTTTAGACTCTGATCACTTGACCATCCATCTGATCCCAGCTTACAAACAAAGGATAAAACTCTCCAAGCCTGTTGTGAAGTCAACAAGACAGTGGAACACTGATGCTGCAGATGAGCTTCGCTCATGCTTTGAGACCACAGACTGGGAGGTAATAAAGGCCACCTCCAGTGTTGCCAGATCCAAAATCCCACAATATCGTACAGAGAGGCTTAAATTATCGTTTTTCAGTACAAATTATCGTACATTATAAATTTGATAATAACGTTCTATAAACGACTTCTCACTCCAATATAATATAACAAAGAAGGTGTTTTATATTGCCCTGTTTAAATAAACATCTTTAAAACCAGTAATATAATGCTTATAAACGTGCAGAGTGTGTCGGCACCACTCCGACCTCCACGCATTGACACAGTATGCACATTTGCGCAGTCCTATTTATTTCATTTCTACATAGGTTAAAAGCACGCGACAAAACATCACAGCAGTGGAAAAACTGACCCAATAAATGACACAGCAGCCTACTCACCTAGTTGCTGATCTCGATCTCCTCATCTGATTCACTGTCTGTCGCAGCAGAATGCCTTTAATCACCTGTACTAAGTGGTCTGTGCTTCTCATTGCAATGTTGTGCTCGGCTAAAAAGCCACATAGCTTGATTTCAGCGTTTTTCACATCATTTTCAAACTTCTCTTTTTCATTAGTTTGTTTGGAGACATTTATAAACCTGTAAGCACTGAGGTGAAATCTGACTTCAGAACAGTTTAAAATTATGTAAATGACTTGGGAAAGCCACAGCAAAAGATGGTGTTACTAGATGCAATGTGAAATTATCGTACATTTGAGGATTTTTGAAACTATTGATCGTACATCATACAGAGCCCAAAATTATGGTACAAATACGATAATTATCGTACATCTGGCAACACTGGCCACCTCAGACAGTTTAGATGGGTTCACAGATACCGTCACCTCCTACATCCACTTCTGTCAGGACAGCATTATACCATCACACACCAGGGTGAGTTGTAACAATGACAAAGCCTGGTTTACTCCTAAACTCAAACAGCTGTAGTTATAAAAGTGAGATGCAATTAAAAAGGGGGGGGGGGGGGGGGGACTCCTACAGACACACTAAATACAGGTTCAGCAAAGAATTGGTCAAAGCAAAACACCAGCATCATGACAAAATGCAGCAGCAAATCTCTGAAAAAGACCCAACCTCTGTGTGGAAAAGTTTCAGGAACATCACCAACAACAAACCCAGAACCCCCACCTCCACTGATAATCTGCTCTTGGCAAACAACCTAAACAATTTCTATTGTCAGTTTGATGAGCCATCAGGCAGGCTCACTCATTGGTCAGCCACTCCCCACTACAGAGCCATCACCATCACTGTGGAATTTACCTTCATCACCCTCCCTCTCACTCCCCACCCATGAGGTCTTCACATCATACACCTCCACCACAAACCTACACATTCATGAAGCAGATGTAAACAAGCAGTTCAGGTCTTTTAACACACGAAAAGCCCCGGGCCCTGATGGCGTGGCCCCTGCCACTCTAAAGCACTGTGCTGAAGAGCTGGCCCCAGTGTTTACGAGCATCTTCAACTCCTCACTGGAGGAATCTCATGTGCCAGTCTGCTTCAAGATCTCCACCGTAGTCTCTGTCCCCAAGAAACCAAGAATCACTGGACTAAATTACTACAGACCTGTGGCTCTAACATCTGTGGTCATGAAGTCATTCAAGCACCTAGTTCTCCCCCACCTCAAGACCCTCACAGCCCCCCCCCCCCCCTCCTGGACCCCCTGCTGTTTGCCTACAGAGCAAACAAGTCTGTAGATGATGCAATCAACCTGGCTCTACAATTCATCCTGCAGCATCTGGACTCCCCAGGTACCTACGCCAGGGTATTGTTCGTGGACTTCAGCTCTGCATTCAACACAATCCTGCCAGACCTCCTCCAAGACAAAATGTCCCAGATGAACGTACCTGACCCCATCTGCAGGTGGATCACTGACTTCCTGACAGACAGGAAACAACAAGTCAGGCTGGTGAAGAATGTCTCAGACCTACGGACCATCAGCACCGGCTCACCACAGGGCTGTGTTCTTTCCCCTCTGCTCTTCTCCCTGTACACCAACAGCTGCACCTCCAAGCATGAGTCTGTCAAACTAATTAAATTTGCTGACGACACCACCATCATCGGACTCATCTCTGATGGGGATGAGTCCGCTTACAGAATGGAGGCTGAACGGCTGGTATCCTGGTGCAGCCACATCAACCTGGTGCTAAACACCCAGAAAACAGCGGAGGTTGTTGTGGACTTTAGGCACCCCCCCCCCCCCATCCCCCCTTAAACCTGTCTGAAACTCCCATCACGATGGTGGACTCATGTCGCTTCCTGGGCACCACCATCACCCAGGACCTCAAATGGGAGCCCACCATCACCACCATCAGCAAAAAAGGCCCAGCAGAGGATGTACTTCCTGAGGCAGCTGAAGAAATTCAACCTATCACCACAGTCAATGAGGCAGTTCTACACCACTATCATCGAGTCCATCCTCACCATCATTTAGAACAGAGGAAAAAGCCGCAGCGAACTCCACTTCAGTCGCCATATTTATAACAAACTCAGCATTGTTGTGTGTGACGTACGCTACCCAGCGCTTATTATCAGCTCAGCTACATTATAGGTACTGGAGAGGTGAAATCGAAGCCCCCATCTCTAGTTAAAGTTTTTTTTTTTCCCACATTTGACATAGATAGCTTATTTTACTCCTCCGTCAAACCATATATCTTCTGTCCAGAATATATGCTTTGTCAGGAGTGTCCTTTGTCCTTCAGGTGTAGGTGGACTGCAGAGTCTTCATCTCATTGAAGAATAATAGACATGTACAGCGTATAAGATTGACTCTCCCATATTCCACTTAGACACGACAAAGCTCCTCAGATGAGAAGCAAAATGTCTTCACGAAACCAAAGAACCCCATGACTGAGACACTTCACTAGTGTACACCAAAATGCTGTTGAGGGTTCTCAGTCATCCAGGTCATGGTAATCCAATAGGATTCAAATGAACACAACTGGACTTATTTGCTTTCTTGAAAACGTTTTGTTTCTCACCGAGAACTTTTATTACAGTGTTATTGAAGCTTTGATGAGAAGCAAAACATCTTAACTCTAACCACTTTGAATGAATTTGCACCAAAACTAGTTAAGTCTTAGGAGATGTTCCAGTGACATTGCAATGGATCAGTATACCTGCCATATCTGGGTTCACTTTTTATTAAAAAAAACACTCATAGATGCTTTCTTTATAAACAGTTATACCCATAAACATTTTTAGTTTAATATGTATTTCTGAAACCTTACCTTGGCAGGTTGTAGTTGGCAAATCAGGAAACAAAATCTTCAAAGAAGATGGAGAAATGCACAAACAAAGCTACTAAAAGTAAAAGATGGCTTCCACTTCACAGCAAAAACTGAGAAAGCTTTGACCCAGAGTTTTTACCAAGTAAATGGCGCAGAGGCTGAACAGCATGACCTTTTTATCACCAAAGAGGTGGGCCAGGTTACCGCCCACCTATTCATACACTAAATGCAAGGGTGTGGCTTTCATGTAAGTCAGAGAAAACAACATTTAAGAAATGAACTTCTCTTCTATTTGTAAAAGTTTAAAAGTTGGTTTAACATCATCACAATTTACAAGAACACCAAACCTGTATTGAGTAAATATATCTTTTTTTGTAAATAAAACAACATTTTAATTAAATCTTTTTAAGAGCAGAATCACTTTTGGCACATTTTTATCTGTCTATACAGTTTTGCTCTGGTAGGGTTTAGAAATAGGTTATTTCACCAAATGATGATGAATATGAACGTTTAGTAACACATGTGAACATTGTGACATTAAAGTAGCTCTCAAGCTGAAATTAGGACTGGACAGTTGTAATGTTTTTATGCTCTGATCATGTCAAAACTGCAATTTATTCAGAACACTGCAGCTATAGTTTTAAAAATAACCTAAATAACTGAGCAAATCACTCCTATTCTTAAATTTTTAGATTGAACTATGCATTTACAGCTAGCTAATCAAAAGTACAACTGCTGTTTTCTAAATCACTTCATGACAAAATATAGTTAGGCTTCCCTTGCAATATCTACATCCAGTAAGAAGCCAAGATCCTTAGGAAGGTGGTAGACCCCTAGGTCAGACAGGGTAAAGCTACCTACTTACATATTCAATTAGTTTCTTTAAGACTTAAAGTTTGCTCCAAGTCTAGCAACTTTTAAATCAACTTTGAAAACGGTTTTTCTTTTCACTGCTCCTTCTGAGTTGAAAAAGCTCAGGCTTTAATTTTGTGTAATTCTAATTTATTAGGATGAATGTGATATTTAAATCTAATAATTTCTTTTATAGTGATTTTAAACGTGTCTGTTTTGTGCTGACCTTTTGATTTAAAATCAAATGTGTTATGATGTAACAAATTGACCCTTTTGAAGTCAGTGGTATTTCTTACATCTAGAAAACAAATAGCATTTGTGTAGGAAGTTTTTCTTGCATTGCCTAAATCTAAAAACAAGTCAACATTTAGCACAAAGCTTATCTTGCAAGAATTACACCCCCATTCTGACAATGACATTTAAAATGGAAATGACAGTAAACAAGAACTGAAAAGACATGCATCAGAGTAACACACAATGAAAAGACCTTATCAAAGACTATTGACTTTTGGAGCCTGTATTTGCAGTACCCACCTTCATCTCATCATGATGCAAGACAAATACTTTTAGTGTAAATCTAAGTAAACATCTGACCATATTTAAGGAATGAAATCACATTTTA